ATAGTGTTTCCGGGAGGCAGTAAGTAGGAAATTTGAAAATGTAGGATACAGATTGAAGTGAAGTTGTTTGGAAATGCTATATGGTTGTTGGCTGGTGGCTGTGGTATAGCTGTGTAATAAATCTGAGCAATGGTAAAAATTTTGCATCAAAAATGCTACTTACTGTTCGTAATTTTGACCACTGATACATTGCTGGCTGCTTACATTTAGCAGAAAAAAAAAAAAGGTTCAAAGCATGTTCAGTGTTCAGTTAGTTGCCATTACTACAGTTAGATGCAATTTTTCGTAATTTAGCTTGTTTGGCAAATGTCTTCGTTGTTTCAGAAGGAAAAAAAGAGAAAAAATGCTTAAAACAGTCACGCTTTTCTTCCTTATCAAAGTTTTAAGGTGTTCTGTTGCAAAAGTGTTTGGATTTAACAGATTTGTTTTCATATTTTCATTTTGTAGTTGAAAGTTGAGGAAGTTTTTTAATTATTTATTTATTTATTCTTTTTCTCTCTTTTCTTCTCTTGTTACTCTTGATGAATTGCAATTTAAGTGAAATTAATGAACACTTTTGATTTCTTTTTGCATATTTTGGTTCTTAAGAAAAAAAAAAATTTTTTTTTTTTTTTGCAGTAATAAGAAACGGCAGACAAAAAGAAAACGGAGGACAATTACCAATACTTCTGTTTGAATTAAAAATTTTTTATTTGTTATCATTGTTTTTGTTTTGTTTACTACCCAAAAAGAAAGAAAAATAATTGCTGTTTGTTGGGTGTAAAGTAGTGGGGGGTTGGAGGTTGGGTAGTCTACTTTTGGAGCTAGAAGTAGTGTTTATTCCAAGGTTTTTTTTGCATTGATCTAGGTGTGCATGTCTATAAATTATGCTCTTGTTTTTCAGCTAGTTTTTTTTTTTTTTAATAATCTACGTGTTCAGCCGACATTTGGAGTTGTTAACGCAATTAATCTTTACTTTTGCTGATTCTTCCAATACAACGTTACACTTAGCAACGTTTACAAATTGACCAGATAAGTTTTGTTTATTTACATTGTATTGGTTTAAAAAATTTATTAATTATTTGTTAATCAACTTGCGAAAAAAAAGATGGTAAAGATTAGTTATCTATTTTTGTTTTTGTTTTTTTGTGCATTTATGTGTTTTCTTTTTTTACGTCTGAATATTGTTGAGAGGGAAGGGGAAGGGGGGGGGGGCAGGGGGGTTGGGCATTTACCCGACAAAGGTCAATTTTAATTAAATCCATCAATTTAAATCATTGAAGACAGAAAAAGTTGTTTGTTTGCTGAATGTGTACATAAAAAAATACTTCGCTTTGTTGCTGTATCGATTGCATGTTGTGTTGTCGTTGTCGTTTTTTTTTTTCCTCTGCTTTTTATCTGTTTATTCCTTTTGTCAATAAATTTCTAAAGTATTACTTTGGTCTCTTGTTAGCTAAGTATCGTAATTGATTTGCTCGGTTTTGTTCGTTGTTCAATTGATGGGTTGACACAGTTGACTTTTTTCTGTTTACTTTTGTTGTTCCGGTAATAGACTGTAAAATAGTGTCCTTTAAAGGAGATTTTCACAACTGAAAAAAGAGATTTTGTTGGGGTTATCAAAAGATTTAACGTTTGACGAAAGCTTAAACAGCTGTAGATTCAAGGTTGTAATTTGATTTGGAAAAAAAAAAAAAA